AATGCAGTGAAGAACAAAGAAAACCAGATGAGGTGTCACATACCTGTAGTCCCAGCACTCAGGAAGCTGAGGCAGGAGAATCACCTCAAGTTTGAGACCAGAATGGGCTACATAGTGAGTGCAAGACCAGATTGAACTACATGCCAAGACTCTATTTCAAAAAATCAAAAAGCAAAGCAAAAACCGGAAAACATGGAAAAGCCTGAACAGGGCTGTGTTGAGGACCAGGCTACATAACTCAGGTCTAGCAGTCTGGGTTTATCTTGCCTCTGGAAGAGGGAAAGATTTTACCTCCTGGCTATGGCCTGTGCTGATAACCCAGCATTCCAGAAGCAAGATAGCATCTGCTGAGCACAGTTGTCAAAACATAGAATTCGGAATAGAGAGAAAAGTCCGGGGGGCTGGGGATTTAGCTCAGTGGCATAAGCACCTGCCTTGCAAGCAGGAGGTCGTGAGTTTGATCCCCAGTACCAATAAAAATGAAAAAGACAAAAAACAAACAAAAAAATCCGGTTCCTTACTAATTTATTCCTTCTCTACTGATTCTCTATAGTTTCTGTTCTATGAGAGGTGCATTGCCCCTCCTCCTGTTCTTTCTGACTGATAAAAGTGGGTCAATCACAGAGACTATTAGCCAGGTTTCCTCCTGCTCCCCTCTGTACCTTGAAAATTATCCTGTTTTTCTTTATTCTTTGTTGTTCCCTGCAACAGGTAGCTAACAGTCTGATAAGCCCTTGGTAGCGAAGCGCTGAATTGGGTTTCAGAGTTCATGTGTTCTGATCTAGGCTCTCCTCTAGGTTTCCTATAAGCTGTTTAACCATTCTGAATCATATTATATCACTGATATCACATGGCTAACAGTGTGGATATCATAAGATTGCTCAGAGGGTTTCAATCAGTTTAAACTTGTGTGTGAAAGGTGACTGGTTCTTCCACATCAGTTTTTTCCCTCTACTAAAGAAAAGATGATCACACATAAATATAGACTATTCCTATTTTAAACTATGAATTCTGCAGTAATTAATTTTTAAAAAGATGAGCAGCACAGGATTGCTATTGCCATTTATCACCCAAGGGCAAGTGAGAAAATCTAGAATCTAGGTTTTTCAAATGGCACAGCCCTGGGTATCACTTGTTTCATATGTTCAGAAGCATATAGAATTAGTGGAACTTTTTAAAGTGTGCTAAGGCACACATTTTGAGGCCCTCAAATCTGCTAACATGATACAAAGTAGCAAAGCAAACACTTTAAATTAAAGACAGCTGCCAAAGCTTCCCAGAAACTGTGACATGGTCTCTGTTGTCCTAGTAGTCCAAACATTGTTTGGGTTTTGTTTGATTTGAGTCACATAAAACAACACGTACTTTGCTATGAGCTCCAGTATGAGAACAAGGGAGCGAGTGTGTGTGTGTGTTTGTGGGAGAGAGAGAGAGAGACAGAGACAGAGACAGAGACAGAGACAGAGAACAGTATGCTAAGTATTAAATTATTACCATTTGGGACATATTGCATCACAGACAGATTCTGCCCATGTCACTGTCATAACACAGGGAAGTTGAACAAAGGATGATTAAACATAAAGGATTTTCTATTATTATATTTCATTTACATCTTGTGTTGTTTCAGACCAATTAAAGAATATTTGAAAGGTCAAATGAAGATATGAGGTGAAAGAAAAGACTAAGTTGTATTTAGGAAAATAGATGTATGATTTTTTCTGCCATTGTTATAAATCCCTGCTCTTTATACTGTTAGTAATTTTATTTTATATTCTCCCATCAGCACACTGAAATTTGCATATACTTATTTGGAGGACTCTATAGAATCTGTGTTCTTTCTGATAGGCTAGTATTCTGCTATTTCCTGTTCTCAATTATCAATGCTTATTGCAGTCATCTACTTGAGTTTATGTATGCATCTTAATCCACGTCCACAATATGAATTGATTGCAACTGCCATTAAAATTTAAGTAAATATGATTTTCAAAAACAAAAATATGTCCCTAAAATGTGTAATCAATCATAAAACCCACTCCAGTCTTCTCTCTTACACATAAATGCATATTTTAAATACAAATATGAACACAGGTTCAAATAAGTAGTTAAAATATCTAAATAAGTAGATATCCCAATTTGTGAAATATTTCATCAAAATAATAAAAAGATACACTAATGTTGTAAGACTATAACTTAAAAACAACTTCCTATTTAGATTTAAAAATATTGAAACAAGACAAAAACTTATAAGAGGAAGCAAAGTTTTACATTTGTAAATTGGTTTTAAAATTATATTTTTTTAGTTCAAGATAAAATGAAGTAAGCAGACTCAATCTAATGCCAGCCACTGGCTGTAACTACAAATCTGAACAGAAAGCATGGCGTACCTGTCTGAAGACTCTGAGATTCTAGTAGCAGCAGGCCATGAAAGGAAACAAGAATACAAAGCATGAATGATCCTAGGGTGACTTCCTTATTTTGATTTAGTGTTTTTGTTCCTATATTTCCTGCTTGGAAATGAATCTAAATGTGGAACTGTGCTCTAGGTAAGAACAGTAAGAGATTCAAAAATAAATCTATTGTCTGACATGTGGCAAAATGAGCCCTTAGGGACAGAGAAACTGGAGAAACTCTGTATTTTCTGTTTCATTATGTTTTGTTCATTTCTTTCTACTCTGTTTGGAATCCCTGGAAAGCTCCAGTTCTCAGCATTTGGGGAAGCAGAAGGGCAGGGATGGCATCAGCTGCTGGCAAACACAAAAAGCTCTAAAGGAAGAGAGTTCTTTCCTTTGACTCTGACAGGGAAAACACGGGGAGAAACTCAATTTTTTTTGTCTTTCTCCTCTTGCCAGTTGGCCCTGGATGTTCAGCCAGTAGTAACAAATGTGTAGCTGAGCAGGTGTGTTAGAGGCTTGTCTCTCTGGTTGGAAGATCAGAAAGGTGGACCTCACAAGATAAAGTGTTGGAGAAACTGAGAAGAGAGAAGATGAGCAGCCTGAGAAAACCATTCCATAGAATGTGTGCAGGAGCCCACCCTGGAGTCAGAGGAGATCTGATCCTAAATCACATATCAGAGTCTTTAAGAGGTGACAGTTCCTGTAAGGTAGAGTAGATGTAATTGCATTGTAAAAACTTTGGTTATATGAATTGACATTGGAACCACAGTCCATAGGATGGGAGTCAAGGTAGGGAGAGACTCTAACTAGCCTATTTAAATTTAAAAAAAAAAAAATCACTGAATTAAGAAGACTATGTAGGGTACAGGGAAAGGAATGAAGTAAGTAAGGTATGTAATTCAAATGCCAATCAAGAAGAAACTGGGAGAGTTGTTTTCATCACACTAGGCTTCTGAGCAAGAAAAATTGTGCAGAGTAAAGAAGGGCATTTACATTATGAGAAAAAGATCAATTCACAAAAGAGATGTAACCATTCTAAATACGTGTTTACATTCCAAATGCATGTATGTCTCAAATAACAAAACTTCACATTACATGATTCAAAAACCAATAGTATTGAAATAAACATAAGTAAATCTATAGTTGTGGCTAGGAAGACTTCAATGCTTCTCTTGTAGTAGTGGATGAAGCACACTGACAGAAAGAGAGCAAATGCATTTCACAACACGTGGGGCTTACACTGTGACGTGTCAAACATACCACTCAGCGGTACAATATATTTTCTTTTTGAGTATCCGTAAAATATGAACCAAAATAGGCTATCAGGTCCTGATCTTAAAACTAAAAGTTAATGATTTTAAGAGGTGAATTCATAGAAAGGATACTATCTGACAATACTGTAATCAAACATTAGGGTAAGTTTCCACCTTCGGTAACTAGAAAATAAGGAGTAATATTAGAGTAAAAATTAAATAATAGTGACATCAGAAATCAGCTGAATAAGAAACAGGGCACAATAGAGGGAAACAATGAAACAAAAGTTATTTCTTATAAAAGACCAATAAAATTGATAAACTTTTAGCTGAAATGACCAAATAAGGAGAAAAGACAAAATTAGTGTTATTAACAATGAAACAAGACATTTCTACATGCATTAATAAAGGAATACTAATAAGAACTATGTGACTATAGTTCAACACAGTAGATACAGTAGATCAACTTAGTGAAAGTCATAAATAACCAAACTTACTGAAGTAAATGACCTGAATAGATCTATCTCTATTACAGAAATTGAATTTGTAGGTTAACATCTTCTAAAATAAGGAGAAAAGATCTTAAATCCTAGCTCACTGATAAATTCTACCCAACTTTTGGAGAAAAAAAATTTATGCCAATATTATGCACTATTTACTAGGAACTTACAGAAAGAATACTTCCAAATTTGTTTCATGGTGACATAATTATCTTGATAAGAAAATATATTAGAGAGATTCTATAAACCAGTTTCCTACATGAATACAGACACAAAAATCCTTCACAAATATTAGCAAATAAATTCTAGTTACATGTGAAAAAATATGTAACTGTCAAGTGAGATTCATACTGAGTTGCAAACCTAGTTGAACATTTGAAAAATGTAATCCACCACACAAACAGATAACAATGTAAACAACATGGGTACAACAATTCATCATGCAGAAATTTCATTTGGCCAAATTCAGTATCCATTAGAGAAGAAAAAACAAATAAAAAACAAATCTCTGAAGAAGCTAGAAAGAAGAGGAGGACTTCCTTAAGTTTTTATCTATATTTAGCTACCTCTTACTTAAAACACCAAAGCTTTTGCCCAAAAGATAGTAAACAAAGTAAACTCTCCCCTCTCTCCATGACTATTCAAAAAGAAAGGTAAACCAATGTAACAGCGCAAAGGAAAAAACTGAGAAGCATATAGGGAGGGTAAAAGTGAAGTTATATCTATTTCCAGTTAACATGATGTTCTATGTAGAACCTCAGCCTCTGAAGTGCTGGGATTACAGGTATGTGTTTCCATGCCCAGCTTCTTTATACCACTTTCAATGAACTTAATATTTGTGATAAATATGTGTTCTATGATATTTTTGCATGGTAAAATGCCTAAATATATAAATCTCACAAAATAAGTAGATTGTATATACTATAAAGCACAACACTCTGATTTAAAAAAAGAAAATCATAGATAAATGAGAAACATAGAGCTTGCTTGTGAGTTAGAGCATGCCATACTGTTGGGAGCCACCACATTGCCGAGCCGCCGCATATAGCGATCATGCGGCCTGTGGTAAAGAGCAAAGCCTGAGTTAGATTACCCCTCCCATCGAGCACGTTAGTTTCCTGCTTACCGCGTAAACAACCCGCTCAATAATATGTTAGCCAATCAGCTTGCCTTGCTTACTTTAATATGATTGGACACTGTATCCGTATATATACTGGTGCCACCCCTGGGGGGAAGTAGAAGCCCGGAAGGAGCCGCGGAGAGCGGACCGGTAGAGGCTTCGGAGCGAAGCCCTGAAGGAGCCGCGGAGAGCGGACCGGTAGAGGCTTCGGAGCGAAGCACGGAAGGAGCCGCGGGGAGCAGACCAGAGGAGGCTTCGGCTGGGAGCGATCCCAGGGCAGGCTGTACGGAGAGAAAATAAAAGAAAAGGTTGTCCACTGCCAGACTTTGTCATGTGTCCTTCCTGCCGGCCGGGAGCGACATCGACATTTGGAGGCCCGCACGGGGAACAACTGATCACCCCCGAGACGTGGTAGTGGACAACGTTCCTTGATACAGCACTGCGAGACAGGTGAGTAGGGGATAAACCTGGGCCCTGGGTGGCGCGCACCTACAGGGTTTTTAGACTCCCCTCAGGCTCACGCGTAAGTGGCGGATTTTTGGGCCTCACGCGGTGAGTAACATATTAAATATGGGTAACGTACCGAGTAACGACACCCAGCCCTTGGTACAGGTCCTCCGGAAGCTCTTAAAGTCCAGAGACCTCAAGGTGGGACGCAAAACGCTGGAGAGCTTTTTTGAGGAGATTGATAGTTTCGCTCCCTGGTTCTTGCCCACAGGGCACTTAAACCTGCCCTCGTGGGAGAAGTTGGGCAGGGATCTTTCTCTAGCGGAAAGGGAGGGCGGGGCTTCGGTCTTCGCTCGGCCACTGTGGGAAATGATATATGCATGCTTGAAGAGCGAGGGTGGTTGCAGGGAAGGTTCTCAAGAGCTCATTAAAGTGCGTAGGGCATTCAAACAGGCCCAGTCAGGGAGCTCCCGAGAGGGGTCCGTCAAGGGGAACAAAGATGCTAAGGAGGAGGACGGGGCTCAAGCCTCGGAGTCGTCTGACTCCGAGGACGAGGGAAGGTTGAATGGTGAGGAGGCCAAAGAGACCAGCTGTCAGGGGCCTAAGTCGCTTGATGGGGAGACGCAAGGCTCTTTCGCTGCGTTGCGCCGCGAATTGCGCTCCGCTCAGCTAGGCTTACGAAAAAGCAGAGAGCTTCTGAGCGCCCCCTGGCAGGGGAGGGAGACAGAACCTTCTGCTCCGCCCTGGAACTCGTTCCCGGAAGCGGTCCCTCACCGCGAGACCGCCGCATGGGAACTCCCCCCTCTTCCGTCAGTACAGGAAATAACGCACAGGCTGCCATTTTCTACCCAACCGCGGCCACCATCTTATGATGCTCCGCCGCCGGCGGGACATTATTTCCACAGACAGCTGTGGCATGGGGGTCGTGTGTCTAATGAAGACCACCCGTTCCCAGGGATAGATAGCGGCCCCTATGGGATATATCCTGTACAGATGGCCATGGGTCAGGGACGTAATGTGTGGGAACCCTTTGAGATAAAGCAGATTAGAGAACTTAAAAATGCAGTTACAACCTTTGGGCCGACTGCGCCTTACACCATTGCCATGCTGGAGAACCTGTCTTCTGGGCCCCTCACCCCCGCGGACTGGATTCAGCTGGCAAAGGCGTGTCTGCCCTCGGGTAGTTACCTGGATTGGCGAGCCTGGTACACAGAGTTCTCTGCCGAGCAGGCTGAGAAAAACGCTGGTCGAGGAAATGGGGGCTGGGATTTAGCTCAGCGGCATAAGTGCCTGCCTTGTAAGCAGGCAATCGCCAGTTCGATCCCTGGTACCAAAAAAAAAAAAAAAAAAAAAAAAAAACGAAAAAGATAAAAATAAAAAATAAAAAATAAAAAACAAAAAGGGGGAGTAAGCCAAGGCCTGCCTCCAAAGGCGCGGTTATCTATGGCATGACAATGGATGGGCCCGGATCCGGTAATCAGCTGGAACCGAGGCGCGGTTTGTGTTTTTCTGCAGGAATCGAGACGAGAACCACTGTGGGTACCGGAGAGACTGACACGGGCGACAAAGCCCTCGACTGAAGATCAGACCTGCCCTACCGGAGATCCATCACAGACCAACCAACAAGATGAATAGAAATAGCGGTAGCCCGAAATGGACAAGAAGATCCTCAGGCATATGCATGGCTCGCTCGCCTAGCCTACGACCGAGTCTAGGGACGGTGAGCTTCCCACACTCCTCCTCTAAAAAATTATGATATAGCAGGGTAGATGAGTCAATGACGGGTAAGAGCATGCCTCCCCAGCATGACTCAACCTAAGACAGGCCCTACCCCATACCGCACGAAAGCCGCTGAATTACTAGGTTCCGCCCGAACCAAATGTCGCCCCGGGGGGATCATGCGGAGCGACATGAGTGTATGCCTGTGTGCATCCAGGTTCCGTCCGGTTCCTTCCTGGCCCTGGAAAAAGGACGAGGGCCTCGGGGCCTCGGCAGACTCGGGGACGGCCAACCCGGGCCGACGCCGAGAGCCCTTGGTGGGCCTCCTATCAGGGCATAGGCCTCTACACTCAATTCAGGACGGGCTGCGATGCGTAGACTTATTTAAAATAAAAAAGGGGGAGATGTTGGGAGCCACCACATTGCCGAGCCGCCGCATATAGCGATCATGCGGCCTGTGGTAAAGAGCAAAGCCTGAGTTAGATTACCCCTCCCATCGAGCACGTTAGTTTCCTGCTTACCGCGTAAACAACCCGCTCAATAATATGTTAGCCAATCAGCTTGCCTTGCTTACTTTAATATGATTGGACACTGTATCCGTATATATACTGGTGCCACCCCTGGGGGGAAGTAGAAGCCCGGAAGGAGCCGCGGAGAGCGGACCGGTAGAGGCTTCGGAGCGAAGCACGGAAGGAGCCGCGGGGAGCGGACAAGAGGAGGCTTTGGCTGGGAGCGATCCCAGGGCAGGCTGTATGGAGAGAAAATAAAAGAAAAGGTTGTCCACTGCCAGACTTTGTCGTGTGTCCTTCCTGCCGGCCGGGAGTGACATCGACACCATACAGTTATCAATTCTTCAATAACTGATGTAGAGCTTTAGGGCAATTCAAATCATGATAATATTTCTTTTGCATTTTTAAAATAAATTAATTTTAAAATTTATAAGGAAAGGCAACAAGACTTAGAAGTAGTCAAACAATTTTGTAAATTTAGAAGATTCAAGCTAATTGATTTGAAAATTTATTGTAAAGCTATAGTCTCAAAGCAGTGTGATACTAAGAATGGGAGAGACCCACAAATCAATGGTATAGAAGAGTCTGAAAATATATACAGTGTGACTTTAGACAGGTGTATGAAGGCAATTCAATGGGAAAATGATAATTTTGAACAAATTACAATTATTGAATGTGCATAATGCACAAAGCTATCTTTAATTTATGCCTCACATTTTATACAAAATTAAAGTGGTTCAAAGACTTAACCTTAAAATGCACAACTTTAAAATGCTTTGAAGGAAACATAGAAAAATATTTTTATCCTTTAGTTAAGCAAAGTTTTAAAAAAATATAATGCCTATTCATGATCTATCAGGAAAAGCTTTAAAATACTGGCGTTTTAACAGTATTAAAAAAAATCTTTTCTCTCTCAAAACCTTATAAAAAGAATTTTAAAAGTAACTATATAAATTGAATAAAAAAGAATTATAAATCATGTAGTTTATATAGCACTTAGAATATATTTTTAAGAACCTCTCAAAGTTCAAAATAAAAAAAATTCTAAGTGGATCAACAATTTGCACAGATACATGACTAAGGAAGACAGTGGATGACAATATATGAAAGGTGTTTAGCCTCATTAGTATTAGGGAGATACAAAACAAAAAATAAGTAAATCACAGCACACATACTGTAAGGTTTTCTTCCAGCAACAGTCGCACATGTCCTTCAGCTAACTTCCTTTAGTAAACGCATAGGAACTCTGCTGGCTTTAGCAATATGCCCTACTGACTAACAAAGGGCGGTGAAAGTGATTCTCTAGGCCTCAAACTGTATATATAAAGCACTACCACTTCCTTTTTGGTTTGTTTGTTTTTGTTTCTTTTTCTTTTAAGACAGGGTCTTGCTATGTAGTTCAGGCTGGCCTTGAATTCATAGCGATCCTCTTGTTTCTGCCTCCCAAGTGCTGGGATTACAGGCATGTTTTTGCTGTGCCCTGCAACTTCTATCTGGGCCTGCTGGAACACACTTTTTCACAGGGTGTGCTCTAGGGCAAGTCAACTGCTACAGGAAATATAAGCCACCTTAGCTTAACCACGTACAACTAGGGAGTCGTGTGAACTGGGTCCCAGAGCTTACATCTCCCCAGACCTGTTTCTGAAAAATGTGCATGAAAAAGTCATCCTGGACATTTCACTTCCTACATATTCCACGTGGAGGACACCAAAACACCAGCCATTGGTCTACAATAATCATGCCAGCTATCTCCAGTTGCTCTAATTATTAGTCTAAAACCTCAGATGTTGTGGATACCAATTAGTCTATTGCTTTTGTATTCAATAATAAAAGTTTATTTATTTATTTTTTTTAGGTTTTACAATAACATTTACAACCAGGTCTGGTGATGCATGCCTATAATCCTAGCATTCAGGAGATTGAGGCAGGAGAATTGCTGTAAAGTTCAAAGCCAGCCTGGGCTACAAAATGAGTTCAATGCCAGCCTGAACTGCATAATGAGACTCTTCCTCAAAAAGACAAAAATAAATAAATATAAAGAAAAGTAACATTTACTCACCTATAACTCCAGCACTCAGGAGACTAAGCCATTAGGACTTCTGTGAGTTTGAGGCCAGCGTGGGCTACAAAGTGAGCTCACGGACAGCCTGAACTACATAGTGAACCCCTGTCTCAAAACACCAAAAAGTAAGTTAGATGCCAGTTACTGTGCTGTATTTTGCATATAATATCTCTGTTAACTTGCGTAAGTTTATGAAGTTACTATCTTCATTATCAGTTTGTAAACTAGCAAACTGACACACAGAGAATGTATGTTTTTCCTAAGGTAATATTTATTTGGTAGATTTACATTTGGCCAACACTGATTTCTAAATTTCTTTCCTACAAAATTATGCAGATTGCCATAATGAAATCGGGGGTGGCCATTTAAATATGAGCATAAGTTGTGTGTTGCATGACCAGGAAGACATTTCAAGTGCCTGAGTATGGTTATTCTTGTCTTTTTTCTCTTTTCCCTTAATGGCTTCCCAGGTTCCAAATGTAAGCTGTTCCACCAGCCTGAACCCAGGCTGATGGAAATACAAAGTAAAATAGTGGTTGACCTGTAGTTAATTGCATAGTGTGAGTGAGGCCATTATAATTTTCAGGGTCTTTATTACTACAGAACAACCCAGAACATTCTCAGTGATAATTCTGAACAGCTAAAAAAAAAAAAAAAGAATAATTCAAAATCCATTTACTTACTAGTATGCTTTTTCTCAGCACCTCAAATAGTATGCTGGGAAAAGTTTAATTTGGGAAAAGTTGGCTACACTTAATGCGTGACTGAGAATATGCACTTCAACATCTCCTTTTGGACTCATTTCAATCACCATATAGACCAGTAAACTTCAGAATACATAAAGCAATATTACAGATGTTGCTCATTATTCTTTCAAGAGAGTCTCCATGATACTGGAAGATCCTTAAAATTTCCAAACAAAGTTATCAGACTGTGAAATGTTATACATATAACTATGCAAAAAGTGGAAGAGATTTTAAAATTTGAAACACCTAATAAAGTTCAAATTCTTTTGTCCAGCAAGTAAACTATTCTGGTGGCCCTTACATTAAAGCGCAAAGAGAGATGAATAGACTTACACTTTCTAACAGTTCATGTTAAGGGAGTTCTGTGAAGAAAAGAAAGAGAAATCTTGGATGAGTAAGTAGAGGAACATGGACAGGTGATATAATACCCAAAACCCCAGCAGAGAGTCTACAGGATGGGGACCAAGAGAGGTTTCTTTTGGTATGAATAGATTCCTCAGATTTGTTGAAGAGGGCATCTATCAAAATGCAGTAAGAACTGAAATACTAACCAGTAAGCAACACTAAGATACACCATGTGAATCAAAGCTAAGTCATCATTTCCCTGAATCTCTGAATCATCAGCACGAGCGTTGCTGTACTCTGTACAGTAAACAGTCTGTCTACGAGAGGCAATCAGCAACATGGCTAGAATGAACGAGGATATTATGACTGGCTTTGTGGAAGGATGAGGCAGGTTTTAGAGACCTGACACGAAGCAAAATTCACTTGTTTTAAAATTCTTTTAGAACACATAAACACTAACAAGCAAAAAGATTGTAAAATATTTTAAAAATAGTAGCACAATTCAAGGTAAGCAATGTATCATGGAACAGTATAGTTGCCTGCTTGGAGAAAGAAATCTATACAACATGTGGAGCCGGATTACTGGATATTTGTCTTGTTAAAAAAAAAAAAAAAAGCAAGAGAACTTTGGCTCCTCCATATTAAAAAAAATCATCATGGCTCAGATATTTTAAGACATCATACTACAGTGGCATATGCATATCTGTGTTTATAGTGGTACAACTCATAATAGCTAAATCCTGGAAGCAGATAGCATACCCATCAACAGATGATTAGATAAAGAAAACGAGATATCGATATATAATGGAATACAACTCAGCTCCAAAAAATGACAGATTTGAGACAGTTGTAGGAAAAGGGGATGGAACTGGAAAATGTAATGTTGAGTGAACCTGATATACAAGTTTTAGTACAGTATGGCACTGCGCATTTGACTGAGTCAAAGTACAAACAAGAATGTGATGACGGAAGGATACAAAGGGACAAAGGGCAGATTTCTTCCAATAAGGAAGTGGTCCAAGTAGAACAGGGGTGGGGGACAAGGAGAAGGGGAAAGAGAAATAAGGAGAATAAAGATACGCCATGCCTGGAGCTTAACACTCCAATTAATGTAACTATTACACACCATAACATGAGCTAAGACAAAAAGTAAAAATGAGACAGGGACACTGGAGGAGGACGGGGGAAGGGCAAGATATGTGGAAGGGTATTTTTATAAAAGAAAAAAATGCTTTAATATGTACA